TAAATTTAAGAAACCATTCATTGTTCATTCAACAGTATAGCTACAAGTACAGAATTCAAATGACTCCCTCTGAACTGAAACGTCCAGCTAATCACTTTCCCATTAATCCCTTCATCAACATTACCATGCTCTTACTGAATAGCCAATCTGATTCCAAAAAAACATTTTCCAGACCAATTTAAACCACCTTCACATCTACCTCCAACTCTTCCTGAGACATCACTATTACTATTATCCACTCCAGATTTTACACCCAATGGAAATCTTTCCTGTTCTAATTCTAAACCATCTTGATTACTCCAGTCCAAATTAAGACTCCATCTTTCATGCACTCATCTGTCAACACATTTACTCCCATATAAAACAATTCCTCCATACTACATCCCTCCAATCTTCCAGACTAGATTTTATCATTTTCCTCTTAGTTCCCTTTAAATTTCCTTCTATACATTCTCCTGAAGTCTTCCACCAACCTTAGAAACTCTGCAAGTCAAATCTATCATCTTTTAGGCACATACCTTTCCCAAACAATTTTAAAACCCAATTATAAATACGAACCATGGTGACATCACATCCCTATCTAAGGTCCACTTTTACTCTTTTACATTACCTAACCACATCCTCACTGAAAAATAACCTTACCAACTATGCAATATAACTACAACATTCCTCTTTTAGCCATCCTACCTTGTGCCTCTCATTGCATACAGTAAATGCAACAAAACTCTTCTTGCATTTATATTGATCACTTATAGGCTCTAGTTTCACCACTGAACTCCAAACATCCCCTCCCATTCCTTAATAATAATAAATTTCTACAAGTACATGTACAAGGTATACAGGCCTAGCTAACATCAATGACATACTACTATATAGAAAGCCCCCTTGTTATGCCGAGTATTTCAGGCATATTAAGTCAATTTTGTCCCAGGATGCGACCCATACCAGTCGACTAACACCCAGGAACTCATTTTTACTGATGGGTGAACATGGACAACTAGTGTTAGGAAACACGCCCAATGTTTTCACCCTCGCCAGGAATCAAACCCAGACCCTCAGTGTATGAAGAGAGCTTTTGCCACCAGGGCAAGGGCAAACCATGTTCCTCTGGAATCTCATTTTCTATCTAGCCCATAATTTTCAATAAATCTTCCAAGCAAACATTAGATTTCTTTTACTATGATTCTTACTTCACCCCCCTCCCCCCAATTTCTTAAGGTATCTTTCCTTACATAATTTAAATTTCCACACTAGTTTCCAGCATACGTCTTTTTCCAGCATCTACTACTCACCCAATTCCTCAGGCTCTCTCCTATTCCTCTTAGCACCAGGCACTAAATTTCTACCTCCTCTTAAACATTTAACCCCTAAATACAATTGGAAAACTTATATGCCAATAAAGAGAAGCAGCTATTGGAAATTAACATTTTGCTTGTGCAGGAGACACTTGTGTCTCATAGTAACTAGCACAATTTATAGTGCTGGTAGTGGTACTATCAGCACTACTGAGCATGTAATCATGTCAAGATCTACCTAACAGGCCTACTGTATCGTTTCTCTATTACCTTTCTTGTGGTTACAACCACGTTTCTTGCTTTGGCCACAGGTGCATCAGAAACCAGCTACTGAGTTTCCAATGGGTACTCGTGTGCAAAATTTACAACCCCAATTCTTCACTTACCCATCAAACATTTGCCTAAAGTCTCATTTTTCCTTAATCTTTTTACTCAGCAAAGTTTACTGAAACTTGCCCAGTCATTTGCTCATTTTGCAGTCTTTCACTACAACCTCTTTTCATTTATTCTGTTCATATATTTTTCAAATTGTAACTTTTTTTTTTTTTATTCCATTGTGCTAAGCAGTTATCTTCCTACCCATACCAAAATATAACCACAAATCCATGTAGCTTGTTTTGAAAAGCTATTCACTGTTAAATAAATCAACTGTGTATGCAAATTGTTTTCTAGTAAGCATTTCAAAATCATTTGAAGATGCAAAGAAAAATTGCCTGCAGCTATACTGTCCTTTGGCTGCAAGACCAGAAAAGGGATTATATGTACAGAATCTTTCCAACAAAGTTGTAATAAAAATTTTCAAAGCAACAAACTACATAAACATTTACTGTATATAGTGCCACTAATAAAATTAAATGCAAATTATTTTCAGGATGAAAGGCTTGTTCATTTAAGAACATTCACCACAGCTATTGTCACCAAGAAAACTTACAATGTACACATTAATCATTAAAGTTTATTTACAAAGATTGTTTCCAGGGAAAGGGGGAGAGTGACATGGAACAAATAGTAATGGTCTTTAGGATGGAGTTTAAATTACAAGCCCATTTATACCTTCAAAGGCTTTGTACCCAATGGAATGCATTAAGGCATTAGCAACTTAGCTAAGCTATTATTTACAATCCACAGGACCCCTACAAAAATGTTTTAATATCCCTGCACTATCATATCTGCTTGTACAAAATCTTTTGTAAATCTAATGTAAAGTATTCTCATATTAAAACTGAATTTGGCTTATCCTGTAACACCTATCACCTTGTACAAGACTTCATATCCGAAGTAATACTCCACACTTTCCTACATGAGGATACAAAAATAGAGTTCAGGTTATACCAATTTAATAAGAGGGGGTAAGGAAAGGTGGGGTAGGTTAGATACAGAATAAAATGAACTAGGTTAGATAAGTAGAAGTGATGCAGTGGTGGTTAGCAAGGCAAATGAGTTGAAGTCTGAAGGAATGGAGGTTAAAAGGATAATGTAAAGGAAGGTTCAGCGAATTGAAAATGGCAAATTAGCCGAGGAAATAAATTGAAAGATTAGACAAGAGGGAAGATTAGGTATGGGAAGGGTAGGAGGGAAAAATGAATTTAGGTGAGGAAACCAACATGGGAAATGGTTACCATGGAGAAAAGTTAGACAAAGAGGAAAGGAGGAGCTGATAGATAAGCTTAGACAGTTTAAAAGGTTAAGAGGGGGGAATGAGAAGCGATGGAAATGAGGCAATTGAAAAAAAAAAAAAAGGAAAGATTTGGCAAGGGAAAAACAAGGAGGAAAAGAATTTTGTAACAAAGACCTAGGCAGGGAAAGGAGATTAGGGAAGGCAAAAGGGGAGGGATATTAGAACAGGGGGACAGGAGGGAAAAATATGGGTTAAGGTGAAAAGAGGAGGGAAGAAGGAAAAAATAGTTGTGGGCAATAACGCTGAGAAATGTTAAGGGGAAAAATGCTCAACCCTTAAACTGTCCAAACGTAGATCTACGTTTGCTCGCGTAGCGCTCTGAACGTAGATCTACGTTTTTACATAGTTTCTTATGGAGAAAATCAAGGTCGGAGCTCCACGTGCGCAAACGTAGATCTACGTTTGGACTCTTTACTTTGTAATTTGTTCAAGTCTGTAACCATGTATAAGAGTGAGGCTGATTCATTACCTTTGTAAGTTGCCATGATTGTGACCAGATCTACCGCCCACAGGATGGGTATGGGGTGCGTAAAGATTAAACTGAACGTTTGGACAGTTTAAGGGTTAAGGGGAAAGGAGTAATTTGAGGGGAGAAAATAAAGATTAGGAGATAAGGTTAGGGGCAGAAAAGTGTGGGGGGAGGGGGTTGTAGTAGTCCTGGAAGATAAAAAATTAGGTTAGGAGGGAAAAAATCTTGGGAAAAGGGTTAGATGGAAAAAGTCAGAAGGGTAATGGAATAGAGGAAAAAAAGTTAGAAATGGAAAAAGTTGAGGAACAGGGTTAGAAAATGTGTTAAGAAAAAACTATAAAGATTAGAGGAAAAGTGGTTAGGAAGCCATGGAGACTAATGTAGTAGGGTTGTATCCACCTTGTAACTAGGTAGTGTAAACAGTAGTAGTCTAGTTAGAAAGCAGGGTACATTCATAGACTAGACATGGTTTATTGGGTAGAATGGGTTACTACAGGCAGACAAGGCGAGGGTGAACCAAGGCCAAGGGAAAGGGGTTTGTCAGGTCTGAGGTGAGCACAAGGACTACGGCAAGGTCTCTTGGGCTCCTGGTAAGGACTATGGAAAACAGGCTTAGGTGAGCATTATGAAATTATGGGGTAGGAACACTTGAGGGAAAGGATGCTGAAAGATTAAAGGATGGAAGGGAAAAAATTTTTAAGAGCTTGACACATACCAACATTCAAAACTCCTATTACTAAAATAAAACTAAGTACTCATTCGTGGATGTGTTCAACCCATAGATGCCATACCATAACTGGGAGGGAATTAAGATGAATCCAAGAAAGCCCCCAGTCTTTGGATCAAGAGTCCACCATAGAACTGTCCTTATGGGAAATTGGGGACAAGGAGAGAGAAAAAAAAGAAAGGAACCAAGGAATAATGGTTGTCAGATAACTAAGTCGGCAACTAAAGTTATTAAAATTTACTAGACTTGGGTACCTCTAAGAGAAATGGAAAGACACTAAGGAATGGGCTTAAGGTAAAGGTTATTATATCAATCAATGGTAAAGTGTTCAATACCAATTTATAGCAGTACTGTAAATTTTTACTTACTATTGCACACAATCTGGTATCCATAAAAGATAATACTACCTGCTTCAAACAAGGGCAGGTAAGCAGTAATATGCTAATGTTAATAATAAATTCTGCCATGTTTTCTTATACTGTTCCTGAATCAAATCCAAGTCATTCTCAGTACCTCACTGCCAATTAACTTTTATGGGGGGCAAAACTTTAAATATTTTCTTATACCATAGCATTTTGCATTTTAATAGTTAAACCTAACATTATGGAAACTGAGGCCATTATTCTACCAATTATAACCTTAAATCTTTATACCAAGCATGGAATATCTGCCCTCTTGTCCTTACAATCTAATAATTACCATGACAGCCTGTCCCAAATTATCAAAAGGTATATTCTGGAGTTCATTCGAAATATGTCAGCCATACCTTTTAATCCACAACCTGTACAGTGTACTCCAAACTCTGCCAATTATTGAGGCAGCCCACCTAGATATTCCATGCTCATTTTACGTATCCTTAGCAACACATCTAGACATACCTCTAGGAGTCCTGCATTTGAGGCAGTAATCGCGATGCGAGAAGTTGGAAAACTGGCAACTAGGGCATTCCCATTCCCCAGGCCTGCTGCCACCACCACCACCACCACCACCACCACCACGAGGGCTAGAGTAACGGTCACCACCGCCACCACCCCCTGCAACATTATTCTCTAAACAGTTGGCACAATGAACTACGCTACGGTACTGTAAATAAAAAATTACAGGAATCCCATTACGTCTACTATGGAAAATTAACACGACCATATCTGTAAACCCAAATTAATGAGTGGAAAAAATATGCAGTCTACAAAAAAGGTGTACGTAGGGCACGTGCCCTTCCTCCAATTCTCATGGTGCCTCTTTCTTAACACTCCAACCTGTGAGGAAAGACCAGTTTTCCATTTCTACACCTACCATACAGGTTTTCCATTTGTACTCTGCTTCAGTACCACTCTTGCCACAACTTGTCGTAAATCTTTACGGTACATAGCACTTCTCAAATTCCAGCGTTTTATGGCAAAGTTCCATTTACAATGTTAGGATTTAGTCAGGCCCAAGGAAAAAAAAAATAAATAAAAATACAAAAGAAAAAATTACAGGCAGTTCCCATGGTGCAATGGCTACTGCAACCTTCCACAAGTCAGCTGTGAGAGTATTTGTCTGAAATATCAATTTTATTACTATCAACCCCTTCATTGTATATTAACCAAAATATCTGCTTAAGATATAGTCAGAATGCAGTAGCAAAGCATGAACCTGCAACAAGAAAATATTCTATCTTCTGAGAACAAAAATACAAACTATAATTGCTATTTTGAACATTAAGAATGTCGAGGCAATACAAGCCAGTCTACTGTAGTAAAATGAACAAAATGTCTTTACGCATACGGACTAAAAATTTGTACAGTGAAGCCTCTCATGACGTGCAAGGTAAGGTCCTCAAAATTAGCTCCATGAAAAATATTTATGTGAAGGATGTAGGAAAAAAAATTGGGGTGAGTTCTATTTTAGAATTACAGGGATGATTAACTTTTCTTACATTCTGTTAGTCATTACTTTAAGCATTGTAGATTGCTAACGTGAACCTACTGGGCCAGATGGAATGTAGCAAGGATTAATCAGTTATATGGCACTTATGAAAATGTAAAAAAAATGAAAGGAACATTTCCTTATCAAATTAACTAAACATAGCAGCTCCTCATACCTATACCAAACACACCTGAGATTAATGCATTTGATAGAGAAAAAAAAAGGAAAAAATACAAAAAATGTCTGAGGCAACATTAGCTAGGGTCCCTAAACGTGTCAACATTTAAACGTAATCCACATTTCCTAAGCAAACTGAGCTAAATATAGGAACTCGCGATACCTATATAAATATAATATACTGAAGATTAATGCCTTTGAAGTAATAGCTAAAAAAATGATACAAAATATAGAAGGCAGTGTCCAGATGTGGAAGCTACCAACTGTCTTAGGCTCCCAGCAATATTCAGTGATCCTTAATGTGATATCTAGACTAGCTCTTCAACACATCTGAATCGTCTGTACAGCTTATTTTTTAGGATGTATGCATGAAGGGGCTGATGTCATACTTAGTAGGAAAGTAAAGTAATTAGTCTGCTATACACTTTAGCCAAATAGAAATTAAAGTTAGAAGGAAAGTACCATGCCACTGCCTACCAAAATACTAATTTGATAGTGTAATATGAAGCTGGTGGCAAGACAATTAGCCAAATGAGCACTTGCTTTACCTAGAAAAGTGTAGGGTATCTAGAATGTATGGTGTGTTTGGGCAATTAGCCAATTTAATAGCTACACCTATGAACACTCCTACACAACTTTTTCTTACTTAAAACACTCAACTTGATCAATCACCACCATCTTCAATTAGTTTAGAAATAGATCTACAGATAATCCTTGTTAATACCCTGAGGCACTTAGTGACTGGTAATTTTTCTCCAGGAAGACTGACCACCAGTAGCTACAGTAAAGATTAAGGGCAATGTAACAAGCATCCTCTCTTAAGAGGATGAGAGCTACTGTGGCGACATGCTTAAACCCTTTATCGTGCGTGTGGAGGGGAGGGGGGGGATTATGCTCCCATGGAATCGAGCAATGTGCTCAAATAGATTAGTGTCAAACCAATCACATGACTTCTAGGAGCAATGCCATACATGCATGGCCTCAGGGGTATTGACCTCCAAAGACCTCCAAGTACACGTCATTGCTTTCTGTCGCACATCACTGGCTACAACAGCCATGTGTAAACACCCAAGAGTGCTTGCCAGAAATGAATTTTGTTTACAAAAGTTTCCTCATTTGTTTCTGGTGTTTAGTTGAACATACCATAGTTTTGAAATGCACATGAACTACGTGTAACAATGTCCTGCAAGTGAAAATATGACAATGTACCATAAGAAGTGCTCTGCCTTGGCTATGGTATCCTGGCCTCTGCACAAATGTTAAAATTGCAAAGGTGATAAATCTGTTCATCTGTCATATTACATTTCCTTGCCATTTCAGTTCCAATCAAGTTAATTTATGGAACAAGCACCCAGAGAAAGACCTATGCCTTGGTGATTCCTCATGGTTAAGTGACTCACTACAAGCAAGAGGAAAATGATTTACACATTCCTGATACACACACACACACACACACACACACACACACACACACACACACACACACACACACACACACACACACACACACACACAGCTACCACCTAACTGGCCAATACAGGCAACCAGGATGACCATGCAAGTTCTGCAGCAACAAAGTCACAGATTCAAACTGTTATTGTTTGTTCACCATGCAGGGTGAAAATCTGCATGATCTTAGAAATGGTTTCACTGATTCCCATACCCTTCCCAGTCTGGAATATAATAATGCAGTTTATGATGCAAAAACATGAAATTCACATTTTTTAGTATCGAATATCCATTTTCAAATTTACTTTCTCATTTTTCTAGCGTTCAGGTACTACAGAAACGAAGTTCCATATATTTTTGCAACTCTCATTAACCTGTTCACTGTCTTTAGTGTCACTCACAGATTTAAGTTTTAAGCTCGGCTTCCTTGGATTTGTTGTGCGTGTTAAATACTAGTCTTGACGTGTGCATGGCAAGTGTGCACAGTACAAAAAATCCTGACCCAGGCAATGAATTTTGGTAAAAGCAAACCTGACCTCATGTTTGATTAAAAATAGGATTTAGGAGGTTTCTGTTTTTTTTTATGGCTGTATTAATTTGTAGAATGGAAGACATAATAGTGAAGTAGCAATAACTGGGGTAGTCTGAAATAGGCAAAGCAGCAATAATGTTAGATTTTTGGCAATATTCCCCAAGAAGATGAAGGTCCCCCCCCCCCCCCCCCCAGTGTTTCACATGCTTTTATTAGGTCTGCTTTAATTATTGGGTCAACTCAAACTATGACCAATCAATATTAGTTTTATTTCATTATTCAAGAGGGTAAAACTTTGTAATGTATTCAAAATGGGGACAAGTACTATGTATGAGAAGCCTGAGAACATGAATAATTAACAAAGAAAAGGTTTTAGTGGATTAATATACTGTTTTTATTTTGAACTTTTTAAATTGGAATTTTGTAAAATTGGCCAAATTATCAAATTCCGTGTACATTACGTGGTAGTGTTGATAGCTGAATAAGCAGTTTCTTGTGCTCAGTTATAAGAATGGAAGGTATACTAGTAAAAAGCTAGGAATTGGCTTAAAAATAGGACTAAATGGCAATGCATAAATTGTGGAAACTCAATTTTGCACCTGCTTTATTCCATGAGATTTCCATCAAATTGTGCATTTTTGGTGTTATTACCTTCAGAAAAAAAATTCCACCATTTCAGAAGATAAACTTACTTCTGACAAATTACAACACTGTCAGCACTTAAATTTCAGGCGCTACATTTTTTTCTTTGTAAAGTTATTTCACCATTATACGAGTGTGAACACAATTTTGAATGTTATAGTGAGGAGGTTGGAAATTACAGAGATGTGCTCAAGGGTAAGGTGTGGTGTGACTCAGATTTTTAGTTTGGAGATCTGAGATTAGGAAGTGTGGGTGCCACCAAAGGTATTATTCCAAGGGTTAGGTCGGGGGAAAGGTTGAGGTGGTTTAGACATTTACAAGGTGAAGAACAGGATGGTGGTAGAGATTATTTGTCCTAGTAAAGATTGGGAGGGATGGGGTAAAGGTTTCAAGTGCTAGGGGCTTGAAATTTGCATGTGAATCTTAGATAGGAATGAGTGAAAGCAAGTGGTTATTGTACACCAATATGCTGTTGGAGTGAAAAAGGTAACATTTATGAAGGTTTTCACAGAAACCAGTTAGCAAGACAAGTCTTGGTGGTGGAAAGTAGTGCCTACATGTTTAATTGTGTTAAAGAAGCCGTCTCCGAGTACACCTATGATAACTGCTAGAAATTGAAAGAAAAGAACCCACATCTTACAGAGGTGTCTAAGAACTGTTAACAGACATGTGTCAGAACTGGGCTAGAGTAGTCACTGCTAGGTTAAGAAACCAATCCTCTCCAAGCCACGGAAGAAATGTAGGCTGGATTATGCAAAAAAATATCTTCACTGGAATCCTCAACAGTGGTCTAAAGTACTTTGGAGTGATGACGCAACCTTCACCATCACCTGTAACTATGGGGGACATGTACTGGTCCAGAGGTAGTGACCCGCTAGACCCACCCTACACCTGTGGGACCACCAAACACCCAGACTAGCTCATGGTTTGGGGGTTTTTCAGTGCTGTGTTGGTGAACTCACTGTGCTTCCCAAAAACCAGTATGTGAACCAGTATAATTACCTGGAGTTACTGTGCGACATTTACCCGAGGCGTTTGACAAGTGTGGGGGATACTGTTTTTATGAAGGACAGTGCACCGTGTCATACCACCAAATATGTAGTTCAGTGGCTTAAGAACTGAAGTGAGGTTCTTTAATGACATATCAGTTCCATCACATAGCTGGAGGCTGCTCTACACAAGGCATGGAATAATATACCTCCCCAAACCCTCAAGAATTTGTCTTCCTACATGGCTGAGGGACATTAAGCATAAAGGACGCAGCACCAAGTATTAAAACCTCAGTAAGCGTGCAAATATACATAATTATAATCTTTCATGGTATGTGTTGGTCTTTTGGTATGAGTGTAGGGGAGGGGTGGCATAATGCCATGAAAAGCACTGTATATAGGATGTAGCACTTAAGTCTGAATACACAAAAATGGGTTTGTATGCACTCTTACTGATCAACTTTTTTCAGAGGTACAACAGAGCCAGCACTGCACCGAGGATACCGAGTAAGCAAAAGAAGCTAAGTCACCATTTAAAGGGATAGATCATATGCGTTCCACTAATAATTTTCCCCCAAAACTTTGTTAAACCTTAACCCTTTGAGGGGTCCAAGTACAATATTGCATAACAGTAAATCTATTTTTTTGGCATGAATAAAAATTCATGTAAATAAAAAATCAAAACGGAATTCATCTGTAATGCCATTTAATGTTGTAATGCCATTTAACGTAACTAATAAACAAGAGGAAATGATATTTTAGTGCCAGAAATGCCTGCATTGTTTATTCTGGACCCTATTTTGAAATTGACTATTTTGAACTGTGTGAAATTGGCCAAATTACCAATTACTGATCACTTTATTGGGTAGCTGAAATAGTTGATTGGGCAGGTTCTTGTGCTCAATCGATAAAATAAAAGTAATACTAGTGAAATAGCTAAGAATTTGGTTGACTAAAATAATGTAACTGGACTAAAATAGTAGTCAAAGTGGGCAAAACCACCAAAGGATAAATATCACCAATGCATCAAAATTCACAAGCATAATTTCATCAATCCTCCATCAAATTTCATGCTTTTTGTTTTATTACCTTCAGAAAAAGATTCTCTACCATTTCCAAAGAAAAAATAATTTTTGAAAATTCTTGGACCCTCAAAGGGCAAATAAAATATAACGATGCCATACTTAGAAAAAAATACAAAATCTAAACATACTGCATATAATGACACTTCACTTGTGTACCAACTAACATCTAGCAATAAAACGTGGCACTTGCTATCTAGAAACAGTATTACAAAGTGGTGACGATTCACAGCAAGTGGCTTACAGCAGGTCCTGGTAGTGTATTTAACTACTGCACTGCATCCTAATATCTTGCTGGCAGTGACCATTGCATTATGCAATACATCAGCTAGCTACTCATTCCCCCACCGTGTTCAAATCTTGCACACAAAAACAATGTAATCTTCATTAAGAGTTGCATGTGTCCACTGACTTCAGAACAGAATACTGCATTTGCTTGCTTGGCAGACAAACAAGCAGGAACAGTAAGTGGTAGGGCAAAGCATCTAGTAGGAATGTATGAACATTAGATCAGCCAGAGTGGAAGCTAGTGGTTTTTGGCATTTGATGAACACAGGAAAACTGGCATACCAGGCATGAGTTATAGAGGTGGCAGGAAGAATTCCTGCACAGAAGGATGAATATAGATTTTACAGCTTAAAAAATTTTTAATTTATGAACACTTAAAAGAGCAACCATTCCCTCTCATTAAGACAACACTGACTTGGTGGGATAACTATTAAAAAGCTAAACATTCCTGGTCTTGCCCACAATGTTTCAATTGTACCCAACAGTGTCGAAACCTGTCAATTTTAATGGGGGAAGATATGCATAAGACTGAGATTCTCTAATGTTTATTACATGCCACTGAAGAAGTCTTACCTCCATGAAAATTTTACTTCTAGGTAAAGTACTGGACAATTTCCAGAGGTCCCCCCTGCCCCCCAGTTTTGTTCATTAAGGTAGGCACATTCAAGGTTAATCTTTGGGGGTGTATTTATCATTTAATTTTATACTACTTGCCTCAGTGGACATTCTTAAATTTTTCTGCCAAAACAAATTTTCCTTGCTAACAACGTATTTATAAAATGATAAATCATGTAGTGCTTTATTAATAAATCAATGTGCATGATTTAAGAACCAACCACTATTGTATATTCCAACTTTAAAGCATTTACATCAACTAGAACTTGTGTGTTCTTACCTCACCCCCTTTCTTTGAGGGAAAGGGAGGATATGTTGAATCTTCCAGACAGCTGCTCAATCTTCAAGTGTTAAATTACTAAAAGAAGAATTTAAATACTCTACAAAGTTTACATTTAAAGCACTAGGAATATTTACCTTCAGTGCATCTTAATCAGAGGCCTCCATTACCAATTTTACTTAATGTCTAGTCTTCAGATAAATGAAATACTTGCTCATCAATTACAAAAAAGCTTCACATACCACGGGGAGCATTACACTTGTAGCACATGCCACGTGATGAGAAGTTATGGAACTGGCACTTCTGGCACGACCAGTCTCCAGGACGCATGTCACGCATTCCTCCACCAACACGTCCTCCAGACCCAAAGCTATCTCCATCTATAAAAATGGATCAATTATCTCTATAATATCCATATTTCACATGGACATAGTATCTAAGTAGAAAGGTGATAAAGAACAGGATGAGGAGGGGGAAGGCGATGGTGGACTAGTTAGGTAATTATTTCCAAGGAACAAACCTTTGGGAGTCCTGCACTTGAAACAAGCAGAGCGAGAGGCAAAATTGGAAAACTGGCAACTTGGACAATCCCAGTCTCCGGGCTTGCTGCTGGAACGGCTGGAATACCGATCTTGGTCTGAATATCGATCCCATCCACCTGCAAAATGAGCAACTTTTATAAGACCTGTATCTTAGAAGCCTATCAAATAAAATAAAAATGATATAGGTTATCCGATTAAAAAAAAAATAAAAAGTTCCTAGAGGGGGGTCTAAATTTCCTGAAAAGCATGTTCTTTCATTACAGTGCTTCATTTCTGCTGCATGTCTATCACTACCATGACATTCTCACTAAATATTGGTGTATATGCAAATTTGTCTCCAAAAATGAAACACCTTTAATATTTAGTACAAGGGAGTAAGTGTCATAAGTTTCCTGCTTAAATTTGTAACTGCTATAGTTTGGTTAGGGGAGAGGGAGCTTACTGTTCAAAGCCGTTAATCTGAAAAAATGTAATGCCCAACTTTGTTAGAAACCATTTCAAACTTAGGAGCTTAGCCTGATCCTTTAATTTAAAATTTAAGTCAATCAGAGCAAGTCTTACCAGCAGCATCTACATTATGTATGAACAGCAGTTCATAACTTGTATACAAGAAAATTAAAAAACTTATTAAACTTAAGGCCCAAATAAAAACTTACACTGTACTATATATCAAAGATTTGGAAGCTAATAACCTCCCAGAAATAAATTTCTTTGGAAAAAAAAAAAAAAAAAACATTGATGGCTGATGTCAATATTGAACGTCATTTCAGATTTTTCAACCACTGATTTAAACAACTCACCATCTCTCTCACTTTCGCCACCCCAATCGTTAGAATCTTTTGTGTCCTCCATCGAGTCTTCTGAAATTAAAAGAAAAAACATTATACCTCCCATTCATTGAAAAAACCTATACTGCCATTTCTTGGAATTATTTAATATTTGAGTTCATATGTAAAAATATAAAATAACTACTGTACTTATGATTTCCATCTACATTAATGAAGTGCACTTGTTGAACATGTACTGTACTTTATAGCGTTAAAACATGCCAAAGTATCATGTGGATCCAATGAAAGACAAAATTCTATAATCCCAAAATCTAGGACAAATTTTTCAAGAAATATCCATCAGGGTCCTCAAAACATTTGGCTTCAATAATTAGCTACAAGATTCCCCTATAATCTAGTCTTGCCAATACTAAATAGCAAAATGAAAACATGTATGGCAAGGAATTACAAGGTACAACGAGGCCTTACGAATATAAATGGCTATGGTACAATTTTCCTGTGGATTTTTAAGTTACTCTAGCATGAATATTCCCACTGAAAAGCTGTCAAGGAACAAACCAGAAATTGGAAAATAAAGGAATGGCAAACTTAGTGATTTTTCAAATTTTATTTTTATTAAAAAGGAAAATAAAAAGGGCATTGTAACTATTCTATTAAAATAAATTTACATAGTTAAGAGCACATAACAGCCAGAGCCAGCACATGACAATTTGCCAGTGAGCGAGCACATGAAACTACCAGAGCACAAAATGGTAAGAACGCCAATGCAAGGTAGAGAATAGAATGTACAAATTATATTTATGGAGAAGCACTAGACATTAAGGCCTACACAGCACCTGGGAAATGGGAGGTAACCAATTCTGATTTAAGTTCAGAATATCTCAAACTTCTTGGATGACAAGCCCTTCATAAAGACACCCCCAATGAAGGGAATGCACAAAATTATACAAATGAGCAAGATAAAATATTTTAAACATTTAGATGAAAGATGATCAACTTTAATGGTACTTTAATGAGGCTATGACCAAGCAATTCATCCCATATTTATGAAATATATTTTAAATTTTTTATAAGTTGTTCTTGAAAAATTAGGCATGTACTGTTAACAGGTTGAGAAAACTGATTGGGTGAAATCTTAACTTTCAACCAGACTGCATCCCAACCCAATTAAGAAAACATTTAGACCTGATAATTTTTTGTGAAAAGTAATTTATAGGTATACTAATGAACTAGTTATCACTAGCCTCTCAGACAGGGGTAAGCTGTCCTGCCTCAGATTTTTATAATTAAGATACATTACAATCGTCCCCTTGGATGTAACCCAGAAACTGATGGTGGTACCCGTTTACACCTTTGTAAATAAAGAGTGCAGCAGGTGTAAACTTTGCTAAAGAAATTGCCCAGCCTGGGAGTCGAACATCCTTCAGTTGTGAACTGAGCATCAATAAGCATAAAGTTAGGGAAAGTGGAGTCATTACTTAGGAGTGGGCAACAACCTCCCTAGTGACAGTGGACCATCAATACATGCAAGACTATACAACATAACATTCAAATATTCTGTACTAAGAAAATGCAATGCTGCATGATTTACAAAGCCCTAGAACCATTTGGTTAGTCTATGCTTTTTAACAAGTTTTACATTATTTTTCTGCCATCATAACCAATTTGCTTTCAATAACTTCCTGCACTACTGTACTACCATAATTATCTAAATACAGTGGAACCTTGACTTACGAATTTAATCCGTTCCATGACCTAGTTCGTATCCCGATTCATTTGTATGCCGAGTCAATTTTCCTCATTTAAATTAAGTGAAATGGCATTAATCCGTTCCAGCGGAATTCCTGATCTTAGGAGGCACAACAAAATACTTCAATATGATGCTAATATCAACTCTGGCTTATTTATACATCACAATTCATCTAATTTCACCACCACTTAAGGAATGCACAACAGGTGCATCATTGTCAGTGTTCAGCATTTCTCCAATGTCACCTTCCTGTAACTCCATCAGCACACAGTCAAGGAGTCGAGTTGTCAATGCTTATTGCTTGGGTACGTTTATTCTGTTAGTGGACGGGATCTGTGAAGGACCTGCCTAGTATGGGCCAGCAGGCCTACTGTAGTGTTCCTCCTTTCTCATGTTATTATGTACCCAGGACATCAATCATACCCATCCCCTCCCACTCGTATACTTGTCCAATCTCTTGTTAAAGCTACCCAAGGTTCTATCGAAGCTAAAACCTTGGGTAGTTTCAAATTTAGGTTGGATAAATACGAATGCGAGGGGTTGGATTTGAGTGGGACTTGCACATGAGTAAATAGGATGATTAAAGCTTATTGCTTGGGTAGCATTTTTCTGTTAGTGGGCTGGAGTTGTGAAAGACCTGCCAAATATGGGCCAACAGGCATGCTGCAGTGTTCCTCCTTTCTTATGTTGAGTGGAACAATCTGCCTAGTATGGTTAATGAGGCTAAAACCTTGGGTAGTTTCAAATTTGTGTTGGATAAATGCACGAGTGAGAGGGGTTGGATGTGAGTGGGACCGGCACATAAGTAAACAGAATCATCTGCAGATATGCTGTATTCTTTTCAAGATTGATGGACTGACCACATCAACTCAAGGCTGAGGGACTGATTACCTAAAACTACTCCTGTTTTTCACCATTCTCCTTTGTATGGACCGATGAAGCCACTGTGTGGCAAAATGTTTCCTCATTAAAGATACCTAAGTGTTGCACATGTGTAATTTATCAACTTGTCGGTTCTCTGAATCATTCATCTACATTGAAAATTGAGTTAGGCAAATATTGTTAGTGGGATAGATTGTGAAGGACATGCCTAGTATGGGCCAACAGGCCTGCTGCAGTGTATTATTATTAGTATGTATGTATGTATTATTATAATAATTATATTAATTTAGGGGAGTGGAGCACAGATCCAATTCCCGTGATCAAGAGCCCCTCACCAAGTAACCCCCCTTGAGGGGGGAAGTTCGCATCCTGAAATTTTGTTCATATCCAGAAGCAAAAAATTGATGGAGTGACTTCGTATCCTGAAAAATTTGCATGGTGGGGCATTCGTAAGCTGAGGTTCCACTGTACATATGCACCATAATTTACTATTATATGGCAATATAATGTTATCCAATCTATGACACCCACAAGTCAGTCCAATACTTATCAGTCACAAGGTACAAGTCACAATCACTTTCCCCATTTAGGTCAAAATATGGGTTGCTGGAATCTTAGGCACTAGCTGCTCAAACATCAGAGGGTATTCAGTAAGTATAATTTTAGATTTACAACATTTCAAATAATTAATTATACATTACACAAGAGTAACAGCTTAAAATTTCTAAAGCTCAGATTGCCATAATTCTTCAAAGCTGCAGACAAGGACTTAATCACTAGTGGAATCTTGAATCTGTGTATCCATTCTAAATGAACAAGTATTCAAATACTGTATTCACAAAAAAACAATGAATTTAGACACTATGACCACCATAAGAATAAACAAGCTATGAAATAAACCTACTGGGCCATGTGATAAGTTCTCCTCACCCAATTTTTAAACCAATGAAAAGTTGCACAAAGTATCCTATCAATATCTGTGGAAGTTCCTTACACTAAAGATAAGAGATATTACTACACAATGTGGGAAGTGTAAAATAAACCAAGCAAATAGCAGGGAAAACCATGATCTGCCAGCAGATATCAGACATTCCCAGAGTATTGTTATAATCAAATGAAGTGAAAAACTTGTAAAGGTTACACAGCGCTACAACAGAACAAGAAAAAAAATTAAGAGAAAACGCACTACCTTTCTCAAAGTAATTTTCATGACTAGTGTTAAATATAGGTTGTAGGAGCATGGGAAAGTATTTACTAGCTATTGGATAATTATAATACATTTAGTAGTTTAATACCATAATTTGCTAAAAGTATTTGAAACTGTACTTTCATACTTTATCACATTTTTACATTCGCTATAAATCTGCAATGCTACTGAATTCATCATATCCTACAATAACTCAAACATTCATCTCTTGCATTGCTGAAACAGGCAATTATAAATTTAACTGGAAATTTTAAGTATTTTCTTTCATAAAAAGCCAGTGAAAAAAAAAAAACCTGGATGGATAATGTGACTAGTGGTTCTGAAGTAGGGTTAACCCTATGGCATGCTAATGACATTATAGGGGACGAACATCTGGAAAGGTTCCAGAGTATAATCTGGAGGGTTGTTGAAATTGCCTCTAACCAGTAGGTAAACTCACTGTTATCCCAAGTTAACAAATCAGATAGTTTACTTCCTTTGGAGGTAGAAGAGCTGTGAAGTTGTGTATAGTTTCAGACTTAGCAGTGGGCAGTTCCCAATAGTTCACAAGTTAGAATGACTGACTAGACTTTCATACATCTCAATGGGCCTATCTATATATATATATATATATATATATATATATATATATATAACATACTTGAATCACACCCAAATCCATCCAGTATGTCTATGGAGTGTTGAAGGGGTTAAAATAAGCAGGCACCTTAAAAGTGGGTTACACACTTGTGAGACTATTCTGCAAGTCTGAGGATTGAGAAGGTTGTAGAAGCAAAGTAACTTAAGCAATGGGAATTGTGTCAATCTTGAAAAGGAAAGTTACCTTTGGCATACATGCTCTTCGTAAAATCCCTGAAGATACTCTGTTCCAGCACTCTGACAATTAGGGCTATATAGCCTTGAGAGGTGTTGGCTCGTAAACGCCAAGTGAAATGCAACCGTTTCAAGCTCGGCAAAGCAAGACAACCGACTTTTAGGGATATACACAACTCGTGCTATTTTTATAAGCCCTAGAATTTGAAGAATAGCACATATTGGGTTAGGGGAGCCATAGATATAAAATACACTGTGGAATAATAAGTGATCTCACAAGGGTTACAATTTGTTTTAGCAATATGAAATCCAATACATGAAGTGGTCCAGTTGGCCAGGCATTCTATATAGTGATCAATGCAAATCAACAGGCTTTGACTCCGAAAGCAATACCAAAAACTACCAATAAGGACGACGAGTCTTGTGGGAAGGGTTTAGCTATTAGGAATAAAATAGTGTACAATACTATGAAAAAGATTCCAGCAAGCAAACAAGGTTTTCTAAAGGTACATAAAAATGGTGGTACCCTTCAATGACATTTGTCCATAAAATTGGTCAAATTTCCCCCACACTAAAGTACTTCACATTAAAGAAAGTATATATTAGCAAATAGGACTGACAACCACTATTTGAACACTTATAATGCTTAGCTTGTTCAGCAACAGTTACAATGACTTGCTACAGATTTATGGAAAACCAAATTTATCAAATTTGCTATCTAATTTTTTCTTAGCGCCAGGAGAGAAAAAAAAAATCAAATGGTCTCAGTATTATAATTTTTGAAATTTGCAGTAAAAATTGAAGACACCGAATGTCATGATAACTACCATGTGCCACAGCAGCCTGTGAAACTTGCCAGACAGCTAGCAATGGCATCCATGACACTTAAGGTTAACCCCCACCCCCCCTCCCAAACACCTCTGGTGATCAATCTACAACATACCAGAAAGTCTACAGAACTTTGAGCTATACAAAACTACATACTAAGTTCAAACAACATTGGAGATGGTCAGATGGGGACCATCTTCAAAATTGGTCCACCTGATACAGAATGACCCTAACATCTCAATTATGAAATTAACTATGTTCAGTGGGGTCTAAGATGCCTTGTAGCCTCCATAATTTTCTTTGCACTACTGCTCACAGGATGAGCTGTGGGTGCACAATGATCAGCCACCTTGGCAGCACTTTTTGGTTACAGATGTGAACGCAAAGGGGTGCACAATTAGCCAATTTGGCAGGACTGTTATATGTCACGTGAAAAAATCTATGTACTGTATCAGAATTTTTATATATGTACATTAAATCTGTACATAGTAATGTTCATTATACAGTACTTCAAAAGAACACTTTTGTCATGACTCACGAGAAGTAAAACAGTATCAATGACACGCTTGACAGCTAATATGCAGGAGACTCACCCTGTGATGTCACGTGCACACACACTAGGCATCCAAAATTTAAATGCTTGGTATGGCTCATGCAAACATCGATTTATTGTGTGATGAGGGGAAATGATTTTCACTGAATCTTTAAAGGCTAATTCTGCTTTTCAATACTTTTTGCACTGCAACTACAGTATACTTAAACTATTATTAATTGCGGAGGGGAAGGACTGACGTACCCGACTCATACTTTCTATCCTTTTCTTCAGAAATTAACCTTTTACGCTTTGGGGAAGAAACTCCCCCCCCTTCCTCACCAGAAGAGGATTCACCCCCCTCCACATTCCGCTTTGAATTCTTGGGCGGCATGATGTTTGATGGAACTGTAAAGAAGTATCTAAGATATTGTTAAACCAGAAAAGCATCTAAAAGCAGTAGGTAATGGCTTTCCTAATGAAAAGCTGAAGCTAATTTTCTGGACCATGTTTCATTAGGTTGTCAAATGAGCTGAAACTTCACATTTTTATCTACATTTGTCTAGTAAATAGGCTTTACTTCCAGTAGAAAACTCTTAAGATTTTTATTAAATCCCTGGCATTTATTATAAACACAGCTTAAAATGGAGGGGGTGAGAAAAGGGGGGGGGGTGTAACTTAAAACCTTCCAATTCAACACTTCCAGTATGGTTAGGCAGACTGCATTATATTAGATTAAAAGTAAAAACAATCTACAGGAGCTCCCTATGAAAGTAATCTGAAAACTACAAAACAGGTAGAACACAGGGCAAACTATTGCAATAAAAAAAAATGGTTGGGGAAAAAAAAAAAAAGAGAGTCACTGATAGTGCCTAAAAAGGATCAAGTTCCCTATAATTTTCCAATTGGTTAAAGTTAGAAAATGAAAAGTTATGGAATAATTTACCCATAAAGATATACAGTATTTGAAATGAGAGTAACATTTAGAACATACTGTATATTTACAATAAGGTCAGACAGGGGATAAAAGAGACAATATAATCACCAAGATCAATTTATTTTTATGGGGAAATTAAAGTCATATAGCACTTGAGGACTGGGAAAAATCGGGTTTGATCCAAGGAAATGGAGGTAGTGCCAATTCTGTAAATCAAAAGACCTTTACCAGCATCAATTTAAATCTTTGAAACTGGTAGGTTACATAGGCAAATTTCAAAAATAGCCTTAGTCTTGGAAAATACTACAATCCTCATTACAACAATCATACAACCTTGGAATGGGCTACAGTGGTGGCTATATAGACATGGGTCATGCTACAAAATGACTCGGCATTAAAATAATCAAGAATGAATAATACATACCCATAACCAAAAACACAGGCAGGTACCAACAGATAAAAAATGATAAACTGATGAGGCTATGCCATGAAGAAAAAATTAATACCGATTACTAGAAAGCTCCATCAACGCAGTAAATTCTAAGAACAATGAATATTTACAAATTATATACAACTAAATGAATGCGACATGATCATGGCTATTCCTACAAACAATTACAAAAACTGATATTTATATGCATGCAAAATATTCACAGATAAGGTTCATCAAAGTTGATATTAAGAAAAACAAAAATTCCATCATGCAATAAAAATGTAATCCATAAATAATCCACACATAAGAGAAAAACTATGATGATGTTTCGGTCTGACTTAGACCATCAACTAGTCTCACCAGTTAATGGTCAGTCAGACAAACGTAGTCAGTGTCTTTCTCCTACACACAGGTTGTGTAAAGTGCAGTCAAACCGAAAAGGGTGAAATGCAAGTGAATTCTTTAACAGGTGTTCCAGCCATGAAAACCAAGGGAAATCATGAACCAACATAAGCATACCAATCCATATTAGTGTACTGTATTTTATGTTCAAAATCAGCATTAGATCGATGTGATGTCGTGTAATTAACAAACTCAGACTTTACCATATGGTAATTCAAGATTGAAAACTGAAAAAAGAATTAGAATAGTCTAAAAACTTTAAAGGAATGCAGAAGCACTAATAGGTCTACCAGTCCATGCAAGATTACATCCTATTCATACAACCACTCGTACATTTCCAACCAATTTTTTATTGTAACACTCTTCTTGACGCTGCTTTACAATCCGGTCTCCAGCCAGTACAGTCTTGCCAAGCCAGTGTTTCTAAATCTTTCCATCTTTGGAGCACAAGGAATACTGCAGGACTAATGGTTCATACTTAAAGCCAACAAATCCATTGCTCAAATCTGCCCAACCATTCCGAAGATATAACCCTACTAGTCCATGCTCTGCAGCTCCAATTCAAAGTTGGCCCTTATAACTTGTTTTTATCTAAAATATTTAAGGCTACTTAATGCTTTAGCTTCAATGACCCTAATTTTCAGATTCTATGATTGCTGAACCAGCAATTTCCTACACCTTTTCAAAATATAAATTTACCCACTTTGAATCCATTACTTCGAATTTTCTTGGGTGATATTATCAGCACCCTATTTATCTCCTTTACTTAAGCCAGTCTCCCACCATTTCAATTGTCTCCCCCCCCCCCATTTTACAGTCAAGGTTCAGGGCTTCTCTTATATGAAAGATTCCTAATACAGTGGATTAACCGTCATCATTCTATATGTCCTCCAATGCAATTTATATCCATCCTGTCATGTACACAAGAGATGCTAAGCCCATGATGATCCTTTATAAATCACTTAATTCTCTCCAGGCTGGAATACTGCTGTACATTAACATCCCCATTCAAGGCAGGTGAAATTGCAGAACTAGAGAATGTACAGAGAACCTTTACTGCACGTACGAGTTCCATCAAACACCTTAACTACCGGGAGCACCTGGAAGCACTTGATTTGTACTCGCTAGAGCACAGGCAAGAGATGCATCAATCTACACCTGGAAGATTCTGGAGGGACTGGTCCCTAATATGCACACAGCAATCACTCCATACGAAAGCAAAAGACTTGGCAGGTGATGCAACATACCCCCCAGTGAAAAGTAGGGGCGTCACTGGTACACTAAGAAAAGGCAACAAGTGTCCGGGGCCCAAGAGTGTTCAACAGCCTCCCACCAGCAATAAGGGGCATTACCAGAAGACCCCTGATTGTCTTCAAGAGGGAGCTGGACAGATACCTAAAGACAGTGCCAGATAAGGCGGGCTGTGGTTCATACATTGGATTGAGTGCAGCCAGCAGTAACAGCCTCGCTGATCAGGCCAAGCCACTGGGAGGCCTGGTGGTGGACTGGGCCGTGGGGGCGTTGATCCCTGGAATGCCCTCCAGGTAGGTACACTGGAACTGCATAATCTAAGCAAAACCTTACCAATGATGTAAAGGAGCTGTAATTTAGCCTCAGGACTGCCGTTACATTATATAAATCTGTTAGCCTTTTACACATTTAGTCACTTATCTTTGCTTTGGATTTCTGCTCCCCAAGGTTCTATCCCCATGGTATGGTTTATATCCTCAGGCCTCTCCTATTGCCTTTAATCCATAAAAAATATTCAAGCCTTACTCTATTTCTCAGCTAATCATATATAACCAAGAATGACTGATTATGGTTTTGGCTGTCGCTAATTGATGCAGACTTTGTAAAACCTCATAAAACATACCAAAGGGGAAAGGGGGCCACAACACCAAAACAAAATTGCCACTGAGGCCTATTTCAGGCCACTGCCAGACCAATTGACCAAATTTGTTATAGTCTTCCTATCTCCACAGGAAAAAAAAAAATGAAAACTACCTTAGAAAATAGCTCAAATTCACCATTAACCCAAATAAGGCCAGAGGTTAGATATTCCAGCATGCACTGAATTATACTGTGAACACCCACCAGGCTTGCTCATATCTAAGCCAAAATTTACTTTTCACAGGATACTTGTGGCTTTTATGATTAAAATGTGTATGCTGTACAAGAGCCACTTGCCTCAAAAACATGCATACAACTTGATCCATAAATATGCACACAAGTATGCCTTTTTATCAGTATCTGCTGACAGTAGTGCCAGGGTAACCTGTATACAACAGTGCCCCTTGCCATACTGCTAATGAAACTTGTGGTTAGTTAAAGGACTGAAATTTCAATCTTGAATGACTTGCCAGGTAACTCGGTGGACTTAAATTTAATAGAACATGTGAATCCTTAAGGGTTAGCATTATGACACTGGAGTGTCCTTTAACCCCAAACACTCAAGTGCCTTTAAGCAGGTAAGGGAAGGATACAGACTTTTCTACTCTCCATAATTTAGCTTTATCAGTGCCTACAAGACTCGAGTGCCTCAAGAGGATGGGTAATCTTACTGAAGTCTATGTTAACCCTTAAACGGTCCAAATAGATTGACGTTCAAATCCATAGTGCTCCAAAAGTTGACCTGTGGTTTTTTTTTTTTTTTTTACATATTTTCAAATGTAAAAAAAAAAAAAAATACATTTTTTTACATACTTTCAAATGTTGAAAAAATGTATATATACGTTTGGACCGTTTAAGGGTTTAAGTGTGTAACCCACATTTCAGTATTGGATGTTTAAAAATTTATGGTGAGCATTCTCAACATGTGCATGATGTATGGATGGATGCATGCATGCATGCATGCTAGTCAGTGCAGTGGTTAATTTAAACCTTAGTTTTGGTTAGGTATATTTATACCCTTATTTACAGCTTATTACCATTTGCACACCATCCAAATGGCCCCAAGTTTTACTTCTCGTGTACTCATGGTACCTCTATTTTTCAGTAGGGTATACTGCACCTTCTACAATCTTTCATAATGATTTGTGTGTGCAAATTTGTTACCTGTCGCTCTAGGATTCTCCAGGTGTAGATTATGATGCATTTTTCTCATCATAATTCCAGGAAGAACAGGTCAAGTTATTTTAAACGCTCCCAGTAAGGTGCTTAACTGAACTAATAAGTGCAGTGAAGGTCCTCTGTACATTCTCTAGATATGCAATTTTGACTACCTTGAATGAGGTTATTAGCATACAGCAGTACACAAGAACTTAAGAAGCAGCACTGCATCAGACCTATTAGCACAAGCTAGTCAAGTCCAATTCACACCCAATGTATTTGTTTAACCTATTTTTAACCCTTTGAGGGTCGGTCACGTACATGTTGCATCTTAACAGCCAGTGTGTCACGTATTTATACGCCAAAATTCTAGTCTTTAAATTTGGTGGAAGAAAGCTGGTAGGCCTACATATGAAAGAATGGGTCTCTGTGGTTTGTGTGCGCAGTATAAAAAAAATCCTGCAACACGCAGTGCACAAGAAAAAAAACTCACGACTTTGCAGTGTATTTTCATATTGTATTCATGGTTGCATTTTCATTTTCTTGGTCTCATTTGATAGAATGGAAGATGTACGTATTACAGAAATAGACAATTTTGACTGGTTTCACGATGAAAAGTACCCTGAAACTGAGCTTAAAGTAACAAACGTTACCCAACTGGTTGGTCAGGTACTGACTTTAGGTGCCTGTCCAGTGCCTTCTTGAAGACAGCCAGGGGTCTACTGGTAATCCCCCTTATGTATGCTAAGAGGCAGTTGAAGTCTTGGGCCCCAGACACTTATTGTATTCTCTTAATGTTCTTGTGACACCCCTGCTTTTCATCGGGGGAATGTTGCATCTCCTGCCTAGTCTTTTACTTTCATAGGGAGTGATTTTTGTGTGCAGGTTTGGTACCAATCCCTGATAAGGGTTAAAATTACACAACATTTCAGCTTCAATGATGCTACTCGGGAGTGTTCCATGCATCCACATCTCTAGTACCAAACTAGTGCTTTCCTATATCCTTTCTGAATCTAAAAGTTTCCAATTTGAAACCACTGCTGCAAGTCTCGTCTTGGTTAGATAGCTTTAGCACATTATTTATGTGCCCCTTTGGCATGGCATCCCTTGCTTTGAAAGTCCTCATTATCCATCCAATCATTTCCCTCAGATGTGATTACGGCTCATGGTCCTCGAGGGAGAGATCCAACATTATCGCTCCCAAATCCTTCACATTAGTTTTTCCCCACTACTGTGTGGTTAAAATTAGTTGTATAATCTACTAGCTATTTTTTCATCTAGTTTTCCATAAATGAAATTTGTCCTCATTGAGCATAAGTTTTCCAAGGCCCAGTGGAAAACTTGGTTTATATCCAAGTGGACATTTACTGTAGGAAAATGGTGGAGATTTCTGACTAATGAATGACTTGGTAACAGTATTCCATTATCTAAATGCTCATCAACAATGTGTAATCTAAATGCTCATCAACAATGTGTAATCTAAATGCTCATCAACAATGCGTAGTATGAATTACTACCATTAAAATGTATTACTTCCCTGTAAGCCAAGAAGTCTTAGCCTTCGCTTCAGATTTAACCCAAACATTCTTTTGTAATCATATCAAAATCATTTTGCAAGTGCTGTGGTTATTTATCTTCCCCAGAATTAGAAACCTCATCCAAAATAAAAAATGCAGCAGTCTACTAAAGATTATTTACATGGATTAAAAACAAGGCTAATATTGACCTACTAAGATAATGAGCCCCCTCACTTATTTTCCCCATTTTACATCATTTGTAAGTAATAACTAAGAGAGTTCATCTCTCCATATTACTAATACAGGAAGTAAACTCACAAATGCCAAATTTTGACATCTTACTGATTTTTGGAATTTCACTTGTATCTTAAAAATTATTAAAATTTAACACATCATTAAGCTAATACAATTTACCTTCAACATTAGCTTAATGTTATGATCCATTTTTTGATAATGTGACCCTCCTGCTTTAACGCACAAACGACCCTCTTCACACATGCCATGTTTAAACAGTAATTTTTATCTTATTTCTGAGGAATATGCTTCTCTGATAGTGTACAAACACTAAAAATGGTACATTGGCAACTACCTTCATTACTGCACTCACCCTTTACTAGGTCTTCTCTCAATTCCTAGTCAGGTGAGGTCTACAGTAAGCAGGTGGTCCTTAAATCCCCTGCACTTTGTAGTCTAACAAATTGATAGTACCTCCCTGATTGCAGTCTATTAGGATATCACTTAGTTATTTTTATAGAACATTCAAAACTGATAAGAAAAATGAATAAAATACACCTACATTCCAAAGTTCCAAATGGCTCTGGTAGGTTTCATGATGGAAAATAACTTTTGAAACTCAAAGGTACAAATCAAAAGCAATTTATGTATTAATACTGTATTTGCCTTCTAAAAAATGCAGTTATATACAGCAGCACTAATCTCTTACTAACTCCTATTCCTAACTTTTGATGGACAAATATGATAACACTAATTCACTTTGGATACGGCAAATTTATTTAAATGCAATTTTTTCTAGGCTTAGCTTGGGTTTTGCTTTCAAGACCCATATTGATTGCAACTAATCCTGCATCTGTTAAGCAGGTCCTCGTCTCAGATCTCATTTACTGTTAAAGACAGGCTATTAATGGAAACCCTTGTCGTTCTCAATAAGCTATTAAGATTGACGTGGGTTTGTCTTTCCCCAAATCGATACAGTATACTTCAGTTCCTTTAGGAAGTACTACCTTAAGATTATGTTTCTCTTCATGGTCTATCCATTCCTAATGAATTTAGTACTGATCCATTATGCGACCTTCAATACAACTTTCTCCTCACTAAGGACTGATATTCTGACGCAATACCTAATGTACATGCAACTCTAGCAGCTAGTACAGTAATGCCACAAAATTCACTGGCAACCCTCTTCATTACTGTTCAGATCTTTGTGATAATCCTTGTCAGGTTACACAACCAACACCAGCTGGATGGTCTCAATCCACAAAATCTGCCATTGAAAAATCAGCAACCTCAATTTCATAATGCACTGCACTTCATACTTCCAGAAAGACTGCTTTTTTAAAGCTTTTCATCAATCAAGACTAGCTTCTAATGTTGCCATAACCAGGTCAAGTAGGTTAATCATTTAGGGAGCCTTAGTGAAGCTTTTAAAAAGCAGTCATGAGCTATCACATTAAAGTCCAATCTCATCTATCGGTCAGCCACACCTAACGAGAAAATACTGAGCTGCCAAATGGTCCGAGGTACCCCAGCTTTCCGCCACTATATAAACCTTTTAAAAATCTTACCTAACCCTTTATTCACCCTGTTTTTTTCTTCCACAGGAGGGAAGGTGGGGCAGATGGACGAACTTAAACGCCTGGCAGGGTAGGTAGAAAGCATCCTTAAGACAGGCCTTACTGAAGTCCAGAAGAGTAACGTACTCTTTATCATGGCCCACAGCTTCAAATACCTTGTGAAAAGAAGTTTGTAAATTTGTTAGGCAAAGAAAGACCCCACTTCGTTGACACATTCTAGTGTTTACAAAGGGGACTTCTAATTACATTCGCTATTATGAATTCCAAAAACCCAACTGACGCCAACCTGACAAATATAAACCAAGGACCTCTTGTCATTTTGTAAATAGGTATGTTTACACCATCTCTTGACCAACACCCATTTGCAACAATTATTGAAGTCAATCTACTAGGAAAATACCACTAATGAATTTTCATAAATTTTGTCCAATTACCTTGCAACTTGCATGTCAATTCTCATTTGCCTTTGTGTCCTTTTCATAATACAGTACCTTAAGGTAACCCTATTTTGATCCTCTAGTAGGTACTTTTGCATTCCTTTAAATTACTGAAAAAAAAAAATCTACAGATTAAACCATAACTGAGGAATATTCATGATTGCTAAACACCAGAAACAGCAACTTCCATTCTCACATTATCTATATTATACACTGGAAGATGGGAGAGCACTAAATTTCTAGAAATCACTGTGCATAGTGTATCTAAAGAAGCCAGTACTTGTGATCAACGGAGTGAAGTAATAAATACTGCCACAATTTAATGGCCAATAATGCTCTTAAACTATAGGGCTTTATATACTGCAAACTAATTTCACTTTAAAAAAAGACAACATGCAGTTTAGAGCATTTTAATGAAGCTATTTTGTCCATCAGAGACAATCAACTCTCACCAATTTTGATAAAGTTAACTGATAAGTCCCTGGGGAATAAAACTTCAAAATGTCATACACTGCAACTGTCTTAACACAGTACTCGTCTGAACATAATACCGCTGACATGCATAACTAATTTACTTCATATAGGAACATTAGTGTATTTAATTAACCTGCCATATTCCAAATTGGCTCCTTCTAGCAAACTTACAGAAGTAAACTCTGATGCATACTTCAGAAAAGCTTTCATAGTTATCTGCTGTGGTTCAAACCAACTTTTAGGTAATTACCAAGCCAATGTTAAAAACCTTTAGCAAATACATGTTGAAAATTATGCTAAACACTATTTTAACCAAGTTTGATCAGGGAAAAAAATGTGAATCTGCACACCTTTCCCCACCCAAATTACATTGTAGGGAAGCACTAAACCCACTGGTGTCAGAGCACTAAAGGGAATGGAAAGGAATCTGGTTTGATCCAAAAGGGTGAAAGTTCAGTTTCTTGGCTCGTCCCCCCCCCCCTCACTGGCATGAGTGACTTCCAAGAAGGCCTAAGTCTCCCAGTCAAACACTGCAGGTGGCATACTGGCCCATGTTAGGTAGGTCATTTCATCCACCCATTCCCGCTCTTCATTCATTTATCTTGTTTAAGAAACACAAAAATTCGCATTAAACATACTACTTAACAGCTTACTCCAAGTCTACATTACACTCGTGGAAGGGAGGCTAGAGGGAGCGCTAAACCCGTACGAGTCATCCAGCGCCCCGGAATTGCGGGTAATCACGTTCGATCCAAGAGTAGAAAGTCCTTGGATCAAGAAACTACCCGTAAGGGGTTTCGAATCTACGAAACACGTGTTCACTGGAAGACACAGCAGCTTACCCTCCAGCCTGGGCCAAAAATGGAACCCATGTGGTGCCACCGCTTCCCAATCACCCATTTTTTTTTCAAGCTCCCCCCCCCCTCCTCCAACACTGAAAAAAGATACCATCACTTTCTTCACCTTCACCACTGCATGTACAACAATGAGGAAAAAATGTGCATCAACGCCACATTGTGGAATGGTGTGGCAGCAACGTGGGCGCCTTGGTAGGCCTATCACATTCCCATTCCATACGTCTTACCCACGCCACAGTGTGCCCTCACATGGCTTACCATCATTCTCACTTACCTCCCTCGCCAAACACCATAGCACGAGCGATAAACTTCGCGCCCGTCGATAAATAAAGGCGATTAAGTCAAATCGTGAAAATTTTACACCCAGCAACGGCTATCTGTCACGACCGCCATTCGTCAGACTTTCGGAAAATCAAATAGGAGGCCTAGGCAGCGCTTCAGAGACATTAGACAAGCTCACACATACACTGCACCAGGGTATCAATGTGAGGTAAGGATACGTTATATACATTAATTACCTAAAGGGTAGTAGAGCGCGAGAAGAGTGTAGTAGTGCCCAGCCGGTGTCGCCCGCCAAACAACGTGTCAAGCTCAGTACAAGGCTTTCAAACTCTACCTTTCCCAGGGGGTCCCAGACGATCCTGGGGAGTCACATCACTCCTCACACGCACCTATATCATGTACTCAAAGCATTACTTAGTCTTCTTTCACGCACCTCAGATGTATATTAATTATTCCTAACTTAGTAGTCAACAGACTTTTTTTGCAGTGTCATATTTTATTTCGGTGCTATAATACATAGAGAAAGTGCTTAAGGTTAACTCCTGAAAAAGTAGACATTTTCTCCGCCCTCTTAGAAGCAAGAGAAACTTTTCAGTGGGATGAGAATTGCTGATCACTCTTTCTAGGTTTAGTGTTGTATAAAAACTAAAATATACATTTATATATACATATTTAATAACCAATATCTAACAGAGCTTAGTGTACATAAAACAGTACCACAAAATCTATATTTAGTCACTTTATAGTACAACTAGCATTCCTAAATATGTGATTCTTTAAATTGTTTTATTACATCTCTTAACCAATTTCAGACAATAATGTTATATTTGAAAGCACAATTATTATTTTGTGCAGGAATAAGCACAATATAATGCAAGAACATCAAGAATACCATATAGACGCGCTGGAGGAGCCTAACACAACTGAATATTTGCTCCAACGTGATTATATATTTTATTTTTAATATGAATGAGACGACAATAACCAATAAATTTATTTCTTTTACATATATATATTATTTGTGTATGATAATTTTAGGCGCTATACAATTTAGAAGGTGCTTACAAAAGGAAAGTTATGTCGATGTTTGCCAGATGTTGATTAAGTTGAAGTGTCTCGCTGGCGTCAGTAAAGGCGTAATTTCTCGCTATTATTTACTTAATTACAAAAAACTAAGACTGAAGAACATTTACGCACCGGATATTATGGTGAAATAATTTGCTACGCCTAATTCTATTGTATGAAATTATTGCAACAACTATTTAAAAAAGAGTATTTTTTTGGGGGGGGAAGCCGCATATTAATTCACTTATTTTTATTATAGGTACCTATTACATTTTATTTGTATGAATAATTTTATGACATTTCGAGGTATATTATGATATTTTATCCTATTCTATCACACCTTAGTTTCGACTCTGTATATTTGATAAAAAAAAAATATCAAGCTACTGGAGTTTAACCCCGGCAAGTGCAAAGTTATGAAGTTTGGGGACGTGCAGAGAAAACCGCAGACGGAGTACAGGCTCGGGGAGCAAAGGCTGCAAGCCTCAATCAAATAGCGAAGGACAGACAAGAGCAGATAGGTTGGGAAATTAATCAGAAACAATGCAAGGGTGAGGAGACAGGTTGAAATTTGAGGTAATTACTGTACCAAGCGTATCACCTGAGACGCACATCAACCAAATAACTACTGCAACAAATACGAGTCTGCCAAATCTAAGACTAGCTAGCTTTTAGACATCTAGTCTAAGGAGTCATTCACGACACTGTACACCGTGTACGTCAGGCTCATATTGTATTATACAGCACCAGTATGAAGCCCACGCCTGGTCAAACACGTCAATAAATTAGATAAAGTGTAGAAATTTGCAAAGAGGCCTGGTCATGGACCGGGCCGCGGGGGCGTTGACCCCCGGAACACTAAGTAGTCTCGGGGCTAAGGGATGTCCCCTGAGAAGAAGTTAAGGGAACTCAACTTGATGACACTGGAGGACTAGCGGTGATATACCTGGAGAAAGTTCCTGGGGTCAACGCCCCCGCGGCCCGGTCTGTGACCAGGCCTCATGGTGGATCAGGGCCTGATCAACCAGGCTGTTACTGTTGGCCGCACGCAAACTGACGTATGAACCACAGGTTGGCTGGTCAGGTACTGATTTAGGTGTTTGTCCAGTGCCTGCTGGAAGACAGCCAGGGCTCTATTGGTATAATACCAACTACAAAATACTGAAGGGAATTGATAGAGTGAATAGGGACAGATTATTTGAGAGACAGGAAACAGGAACACGATAGTATAGCTGAAAGTTGAACACACATGTAGGTTATTGTTAGAAATTTTATATTGGAGTACAGTCCCTGGATCAATTATGTACCTGGAGTTACCTGGAGAGAGTTCCGAGGGTCAACGCCCCCGCGGCCCGGTCTGTGACCAGGCCTCCTGGTGGATCAGAGCCTGATCAACCAGGCTGTTGCTGCTGGCTGCACGCAAACCAACGTACGAGCCACAGCCCGGCTGGTCAGGAACCGACTTTAGGTGCTTGTCCAGTGCCAGCTTGAAGATTGCCAGAGGTCTGTTGGTAATCCCCCTTATGTATGCTGGGAGGCAGTTGAACAGTCTCGGGCCCCTGACACTTATTGTATGGTCTCTTAACGTGCTAGTGACACCCCTGCTTTTCATTGGGGGGATGTTGCATCGTCTGCCAAGTCTTTTGCTTTCGTAGTGAGTGATTTTCGTGTGCAAGTTCGGTACTAGTCCCTCTAGGATTTTCCAGGTGTATATAATCATGTATCTCTCCTGCCTGCGTTCCAGGGAATACAGGTTCAGGAACCTCAAGCGCTCCCAGTAATTGAGGTGTTTTATCTCCGTTATGCGCGCCGTGAAGGTTCTCTGTACATTTTCTAGGTCAGCAATTTCACCTGCCTTGAAAGGTGCTGTTAGTGTGCAGCAATATTCCAGCCTAGATAGAACAAGTGACCTGAAGAGTGTCATCATGGGCTTGGCCTCCCTAGTTTTGAAGGTTCTCATTATCCATCCTGTCATTTTTCTAGCAGATGCGATTGATACAATGTTATGGTCCTTGAAGGTGAGATCCTCCGACATAATCACTCCCAGGTCTTTGACGTTGGTGTTTCGCTCTATTTTGTGGCCAGAATTTGTTTTGTACTCTGATGAAGATTTAATTTCCTCATGTTTACCATATCTGAGTAATTGAAATTTCTCATCGTTGAACTTCATATTGTTTTCTGCAGCCCACTGAAAGATTCGGTTTATGTCCGCCTGGAGCCTTGCAGTGTCTGCAATGGAAGACACTGTCATGCAGATTCGGGTGTCATCTGCAAAGGAAGACACAGTGCTGTGGCTGACATCTTTGTCTATGTCGGATATGAGGATGAGGAACAAGATGGGAGCGAGTACTGTGCCTTGTGGAACAGAGCTTTTCACCGTAGCTGTCTCGGACTTTACTCTGTTGACGACTACTCTCTGTGTTCTGTTAGTGAGGAAATTATAGATCCATCGACCGACTTTTCCTGTTATTCCTTTAGCACGCATTTTGTGCGCTATTACGCCATGGTCACACTTGTCGAAGGCTTTTGCAAAGTCTGTATATATTACATCTGCATTCTTTTTATCTTCTAGTGCATTTAGGACCTTGTCGTAGTGATCCAATAGTTGAGACAGACAGGAGCGACCTGTTCTAAACCCATGTTGCCCTGGGTTGTGTAACTGATGTGTTTCTAGATGGGTGGTGATCTTGCTTCTTAGGACCCTTTCAAAGATTTTTATGATGTGGGATGTTAGTGCTATCGGTCTGTAGTTCTTTGCTGTTGCTTTACTGCCCCCTTTGTGGAGTGGGGCTATGTCTGTTGTTTTTAGTAACTGTGGGACGACCCCCGTGTTCATGCTCCCTCTCCATAGGATGGAAAAGGCTCGTGATAGGGGCTTCTTGCAGTTCTTGATGAACACGGAGTTCCATGAGTCTGGCCCTGGGGCAGAGTGCATGGGCATGTCATTTATCGCCTGTTCGAAGTCATTTGGCGTCAGGATAACATCGGATAGGCTTGTGTTAACCAAATTTTGTGGCTCTCTCATAAAAAATTAATTTTGATCTTCGACTCTCAGTCTGGTTAGCGGCTTGCTAAAAACTGAGTCATATTGGGACTTGAGTAGCTCACTCATTTCCTTGCTGTCATCTGTGTAGGACCCATCTTGTTTAAGTAGGGGCCCAATACTGGATGTTGTTCTCGACTTCGATTTGGCATAGGAGAAGAAATACTTTGGGTTTCTTTCAATTTCATTTATGGCTTTTAGTTCTTCCCGCGATTCCTGACTCCTATAATATTCCTTTAGCTTCAGTTCGATGCTTGCCATTTCTCTGACCAGTGTCTCCCTACGCATTTCAGATATATTGACCTCTTTTAGCCGCTCTGTTATTCTTTTCCGTCGCCTGTAAAGGGAGCGTCTGTCTCTTTCTATTTTACATCTACTCCTTTTTCTTAGAGGAATAAGCCTTGTGCATACATCGAGTGCCACCAAGTTAATCTGTTCTAGGCATACGTTGGGGTCTGTGTTGCTTAGTATATCTTCCCAGCTTATATCGGTTAGGACTTGGTTTACTTGGTCCCACTTTATGTTTTTGTTATTGAAGTTGAATTTGGTGAATGCTCCCTCGTGACTAGTCTCATTATGTCTGTCTGGGGCTCCACGCATACATGTCTGAACCTCAATTATGTTGTGATCTGAGTATATTGTTTTTGATATGGTGACATTTCTTGTCAGATCATCATTGTTAGTGAAGATGAGGTCTAGTGTATTCTCCAGTCTAGTAGGCTCTATTATTTGCTGGTTTAAATTGAATTTTGTGCAGAGTTTTTAAAAGCTCGTGTGAGTGTGAGTTTTCATCAGAGCTGCCTCCTGGTGTTATTACTGCAACAATATTATTTGCTATATTCCTCCATTTTAGGTGCCTTAAGTTGAAATCCCCCAGGAGCAAGATGTTGGGTGCAGGAGCTGGAAGATTTTCCAGACAGTGGTCAATTTTTTAACAGCTTTTCCCTGGAATTGCTGGGATGTTGCATCCGGAGGCTTGTAGACTACCACAATGACTAGGTTTTGGTTCTCGACCTTTACTGCTAAAACTTCCACTACATCATTTGAGGCATTTAGCAGTTCTGTGCAAACAAGTGACTCCGCAATGTACAGGCCAACCCCCCCTTTTGCCTGTTCACTCTGTCACATCTGTATAGGTTGTAACCTGGGATCCATATTTCGTTGTCCAAGTGATCCTTTATGTGGTTCTCAGTGAAAGCCGCGAACATTGCCTTTGCCTCTGCAAGCAGTCCACGGATGAAAGGTATTTTGTTTTTCTGTTGCTGGCT